AGCCGGGCGGGCCTCTTAAAGGGGCCGCGCTGCGGGGGCCGGGAGGGGGCTCCCGAAGGCCGCGCCCCCACCGAGTCGTAGTCCTCCCTTCTGTCCCTGAGCGCTTGGGGAAACTGAGGCTTCGACAGCGACGAGCCCCCACCCAGCCACTGTCGTCTTTCTGTCCTTGAGCGCTTGGGGAAACTGAGGCTACGACAACAAGGTATCTAGCTATTCAACTGTCTGCTGAGGTTCCCCGTAAAAAGGACAGCACCGACTAGTTCAGAGAGACCCTTCCAAAGCCCGTTCTGTGGCCTGGGACCGAACACCGCATTTCCCCACAGCCCGGCTACTCACTGGCGTAACTCTCCAGCAGAACCCAAGCCACAGAGGGACAGAGATCACTCAGCAAGGCAGGGAGGGCTCGGCTGGATCACCAACCCCCCCCCCCAGCCCCTTTAGCCAATGGGCTTCCAGCATTTTGGACCTGGAGTGGGTGATGAATTAACAACTGCCACACAGGATTGTCACAGACACACCCCACGCTGGATAACTAGGAGCGGCTCCGGGGGTCACTCAGCACACACAGCTCCCTTCCCACTGTCCCGAGCTATGTATTGTCCCTTGCCCGCGTGCGCTGCAGACTTCCCTGTAGTTTTCCCTAATTTTCCTGGACTCAGAGCTTGGGTGAGGAGAAGGGAAACAGGCTTTAGGGGACTGGGGTCCTGACCACTTTTCCCTCTCTGCCTCTGGTGCTGGATGGAGGCCTTGCAGCGCTCCAGCTCCTGCTCGATGTCAGGAGATGAGAACAAGAATACCCACTTCCAGGGCCAGCAGGGGGCTGGGTACAACACTAGACTCCCACGTGGCTGACTGTGGTTCGAGTCCCAGACCTGGTGGCTTGAAGACCATGCCCCCAGCCATGTGTGCATGCCCAAAATCCCAGGAGAAGACTGGAGGAGAAAGAATTGCAGCATGGCCATCCCCTCCCCAGGGGAGCCGGGGAAATAACTTCTCACATTCCCTCTCACTGTCCATCTGTCTCTTTCCAGCCAGCACCCTATGACAAAAACCATGGAGAAAAAAAAAAAGGAATACCCACTTCCTAGAGCTGTTGCCCTGAAGATGTGTAACAGGTTATTAGGACCTCCCTGAAGTTTTAGCACCACCCAGAACAGATGCCCTGATCCCTGATCTAGAACAGAGCCCCAGGCTAGCAGCCAGGCCAGCCTGGCTTGGGTTCAATCGCTTCCACTCCAGCTGTGTGACCTTGGCAATTCCTCCCCCTCTCTGAGCCTCTGTTTTGTCTTCATCTGTAAAATGGCATAAGCACCATGTGCAAAGCACCCAAATGAGGCAAATATAACATTTAAACAACATGGAGTTCGTTTTATGATTGCACATTAATGCCCCAGTGCTGCTGGGAAACCCTTGGGGCCCAGCTTCCATGCACGGTGGTCACTGCGTAGCTCACTGCTGCCCTCTGCAGGCCTCTCCACCCTCCTGCCGTCTCTGTCCCATCCAACCAAGCTGACGCTGGTCCCTTGGCAGGCAGGGTGTAAATAGCCCATTTTGCAAGTGAGATGTAGGTGGTGCCCTGACTTCACAGCCGGTGAGACAGAGAGGGGCTGAAATCCCAGCAGTGTAATACTGAGCAGTGCTCTCATCCTCAGTGACCGCTTCTTTAAAATGGATGTAACAGGGCCGGCCCCCAGGAGCTGGATCTTGTATGGCCAACCACAGTTCGAGTCCTGACCCTAACAGTTTGAAGGATATGCTGGGAATGTTTGTGTGCATACTCAGGATCCTAGAAATGGAAGAAGAAGGACTGTGGCATGACTATGCCCCATTGAGGGCTTTTATCCACCTCTCTGTGAGGAGAGAGCCCTTCTGGTGATAAAGAAAATAAATACAATAGGACCAGCAGGTAGTGTGGGGGTTAAGGCACTGGATTCCCACGTGGCCTATTGCGTGGTCTGAGTCCTGGGCTGGGCAAATTAAAAATCATGCTGAGTGCATGCCCAAAATCCTGAAAGGAGAATAGACAGGAAGGAATTGCAGCTTGGCCATGCCTCCTGGGGGTGTGCGGGTGACTTCTCACTTTCTGTCTCTCTCTAGTGAGCGCACACACCTTTTGGGAAAAAAAAAAAATCTATTTAGAAAAAGAGAAAGAAAAGAAAATGGCCATCATAAATTCCCACTTCACAGGATCATTGTCAATATTAGCTGCCTTCTTCTCTAAATGGCCTGCTCAGGTCCCCCAGTGAGGGAAGACTCAGGCTTTTGGAATCTTATTCTCTGGCCATCAGCAGAAAGAATCCCAAAAGCCCAAATAGCTTTTTCCTCTTGCTGACCAGACCCCGTCAGGTTCCGAGGAGAATTATGGACTCATCCAGGCCCATGTTATCATGAAGTGTCCTTTTGTCCTCACAGTCCCACCTTAAATATTTTATGCGTAAGCAAAAGTACTTCGGAAACTCCGAAGCTGTTTAGTTTGGGTTGCAGGCTCCACTCCCTTGGTTTAACAAACAACTTCTTGTTGGGCACAAGGACGTATGTAGATAGTGGCTTTCTTCCCCCACGTAGCCGCCTCTAGCCTCGAGGACATTCCTCCTCTGTTCTTGAGATTTCTGAGAGTGCCTCTACCCTGTGTCTCTTGTTTCCTGCAGAGTTTCCTATTTCTTTTTTTTTTTTTCTTTTTTGTGTCGTAAGGTGCATGTGCTTGCTGGAGAGAGACAGAGAGGGAAAGTGAGAAATCACCTCCCAAGGGGGTTGGCCAGGCCGCAGTCCCTTCTCCTCCATTCTCCTCTCGGGATTTTGGGCACACATGCACACGCGCCCGCTATGATTTTCAAGCTGCAAGGTCTAGCACTCGAACCATGGCCAGCCATGTGGCAGTCTAGCGCCTTAGCCACCCCACCACCTTCTGGCTCCCTGCAGAGCTTTCTTATCTTCCATCACTCACTAGGGAGGAGTGACGAGGATCTCAGAGTGCAGACACACACCCACTGTAAGCCCCATTTGGTGTCTACCCGAGCCAGAGCTAAACTCTGCAAGGACACAGACCCGTTTGTCTTGTTCCCCTAGAAATCCCCAGCAGGCAGCACATAGTAGGTGCTCAGCTAGTGCAAATGAGAACTTAAGACACGTGTGTGGCCAGAGGTGTGCACAGCCTAGGGAGAGAGGTGTGGGGGGATGGGGAGGAAATGATAAGGCGGTCAGAGTTGGGCTGCTGCAGAGGTGTGTGTGTGTGTGTGTGTGTGTGTGTGTGTACATGCGTCATGGGGGAGGAGCTAATCCCGGAGCAGAGGTCTGGAGAAGGCTTGCTGAAGTGGGGGTGGGGTGACATTGTACTGGTTTCTAAGGGCAAGGAACAGGTAGGCCTGGGCAAGGAGACTTCAAAGTTGGAGGTGTGTCCGTGAAACAGCCAGGTTAAGAGTCGAAGCTGGTGTGGTGGTAGGAGGTGAGGCTGCAAGCGAGGGAGGGCCTTGTAGGCCTGCAAGAGGTTTGGATTTTATTCTGTTATAAATGCAAGGAAAAGCGGCTAAACCTGTACTGTCCGATAGAACTTTCCACAATTAGGCATGTTCTAAAATGACTCTGAACGATGTGAGAGCCGTAAGTTTCCCCATGTGGTTACTGAGCACCTAAAATGTGACTTGTCAGCAGGATCAGCATATGGGATAATGGTTATGTCACCGGACTCCCACATGGCTGACAGCGGTTCCAGTCCCAGACCCGGCAGCTTAAAACTCACACTGGGCATATGCCCAAGATCCCAAGAGGAGAAGGGATTGTGGTGTGGCCATTCCCCCTCGGGGGTGATTTCTCACTTTCTGTCTTTCTGGCAAGCGCATGTCCCCTATGGCAAAACTCTCTCTTTTAAAAAAATGTGGCTGGGCAGAGCCGACAGGTGGCGTGATGGTTAAGGCACGGGATCCCGTATGGCCAATTCCACAGTTCAAGTCCTAGACCCAGTGGCTTTCAAAACACGTTGAGTGTGTGTGTGCACCTGAAATCAGAGAAAAAGGGATTGCAGCTCAGCTATTCCCCTGAGGGGGTGCTTTCTCGCTTTCTTTGTCTCTCTGTGTTTCTCTCTTGCGAGAGAATATATTCTCAAACAAACAAACAAAAACGTGGCTGGGCAGTCTCGAGAAGAGAATGGAGGAGAAGGGAGAGCGGCGTGGCCATCCCTCCGGGGGTGATTTCTCGCTTTCCTCTCTGGTGAGCACACCCTATAGCAA